TAAGCTTAGGGAAGGTGTGGAGATCTACTCATTTTGCAGCCACCCAAGACAAGCCTCCCATATAAGTTTGCTTGCTTATTAAACTTACCACCTACCCATCTGGAATGGCCTGCTTCTTCTGTCTCTCCATCTCCTTTGTCTATGGGGGCCAGTTTCAGACTTCATTCTGGATGTTCCCAAGGTTTCAAACCAACACTTGCAGATCATTTTAAAGATTTGCACATTATTCTTCAGGTGATAATGAGTAAATTGTCACAAGCAGGAGAATGGTATAACTATGCATACTTTAGATAGAATTGGCAGCTATATAAGAGGTTTTGATGTAGCAAATCACTTGAAATGGAAATGAAATAAAAGGTTCTTGCCATTACGTAGGTAAGAGATGGTGAAAGCTAGAAATAATACCATGGAAGCTAGAAATAACAAAAGATTTTAAAGAAGGTAGAATTAATAGATAATGATCTGGATATTAGAAGTAAAGGAAGAAGGCATAAATAGTATGACTACTAAGTGTCTGGCTTGGCAAACTAGGTATGTGGTGATGCTTTTTACCTGACTAGTGTGACATGAAGAGTGATCTTTCTGAAATGCAAATATGATTATTTCTCACCCTGATTTAAGAGCCCTCAATGACTCTATTCAAAGATAAAGTCCAAACTCCTTTATATAGCATAAATGACTCATTATCTCTCTGGACACATCTTTTTTTATGCCCTTCATACCTCACTCTACACTTCAGCTATACTGAATTACTCTTACTTATCCAAATGTAATATGCATATTTCCCCTGGGGCTTTGTTCCCAGTGCCTGGAAATATTCCTTATCCTTTTAACCAGGCTCTACTTAGCCTTTTCTTAACTGTTACTTCCTATAAGAAACAAGTCCTAATACCCCAAGAATAGTTTAGGTATCACTCATATATAGTTGCATATGGTCCTGAATTTATCTTCGATACAGTGTTAATAAAATTGGCAGTTTCTAAGTGGAGATATACATCTGAAATTCTTAAAGTATGTGCTTTTTTCACTACTGTAATTATTTATTATATTAACTGAGCTCCCAATGCACATTTGTGCAAAGCAGTTGGATATTGATTCAATTGTCAGCTATTAGATATATTAACTTTTATCATTTTTCATTTGCTTTATGTATCTTCAAGCTACCATGGTCATTATAAAAACGGCAATTGAGAGTGATAAATAGCTTTCCTCCTTCCCTTCCTTCCTTCCTTTCTTTTTCTTTCATGGTCTTTGAAAATCTGTTAGATAACTATAATTCCCAACTGGGATACTGAAGCTACTTCTTTTGGACTCTTTTGTGTTTTTTCCCCCAGTGATAGCTACAGTGTTACCACTTCTGAAGAGGGAGAGAAACTGGAGCATTTGTTCCCGTGTTTCCTTATGCCTCTCCTATTTCTTCTTCTCTCCACCCCCTGAATAAAGTGATCAGTTATAGGATGGATAGAGGGAAAATGGAAAATTTGATTTACTTTTTCTTTTGGCTCTCAAGTCATCACATCAGATCATCTTTGCTTCCCTCACAATGTATACACCTAATTTTTGTCTTGGGAGCAACAATTTGTTTACACAAGAAATAACCAGACACAGAGCATTACAGAATGTCATGAGGAAAGTTATGGAAGGAAATATTGGGATTTTTTTTTAGCAGCATTTAAAAAAAGGTACATGAGCTTATGGTTATGATGTTCTTAATTGTCCTTTCTGATAATGTAAAAGTTGTTTTATATAGAAAATCCAAGTAACAAAATGGAGCTGAAAATTTTGATGACGCTTCTGTGTTTTGTGTATTGCCAACACACCAAGTAAAGTGTACTGTCTAAAGTTCAGAATATTATTAAATTCTGAAAGAACTATCTAATTCAGCAGAAAAAATTATATCGCAACGCATCATTCAACTGAAACAGAATTCAAAAATGGCTTGTTTTTATTTAGAAGGAGAATCATTTATGAAACATGGTTTAATTTGGAACATCTTATTTTCTTTAGGAGGATATTCAAAGAGTAAAATTTACTTCTGTGGTCACATATTAGGATTCTATATCCCCTTTTCTATTTGTATATAACTTCAGAATTTTTTTTTTTAAAGATTTTATTTATTTGACAGAGAGAGACACAGTGAGAGAGGGAACACAAGCAGGGGGGAGTGGGAGAGGGAGAAGCAGGCCTCCCGCGGAGCAGAGAGCCTGATGTGGGGCTCGATCCCAGGACCCTGGGACCATGACCTGAGCTGAAGACAGACGCTTAACGACTGAGCCACCCAGGCGCCCCTAACTTCTGAATTTTAACTTATATTGAAAAAGATGCATTTCTTCGTGGGACCACATTAAAAGAAATGATTGTTAATAAAAAATAGTATTATTCATATTAAGGTACTGGAATTTAAAACAAAACCTTCTACATATAATACAGTGAAGTAAAATGGCTTTAGGACCTAAAGAAGACATGTTCTATACATAAATGATCTTTAAAACTGCAAAAGGGGTATGATTTAATATGTTAGCTGAGAACTTTAAATGTTTCTCTCAGATAGAAATGTATATAGCATGATGGTATGGATTCTAGACTGTAGTTTGAAGGAAGGCAATAGCGAAAATGAATTTCATGCCAGTAGACACTTTAAAAACTAGATTTAGCAGCAGTCACATTAGCTTAGATAATGGGAGAATTTTTCTTCATTGAAAATGCTCTGTGTCGCTTAAGAAGAACTTACTGAGGCAGCCTGCCATCTAGCTTTTTCACAGAAAAACAGGCTTACAGACTGCAGATGAGAGAGTCTGGAGCAGAGACAATTTTAACTTAGCCATTCCTAATTTATCTCAAGCATTTTCAATTCATCTTCACTGCTCTATGCACACAGGGACACCAGATTGCCATCCCTAGGGAACAGAATGCAACCAGGGATCTGGAGAGCTGTCACATTCCAAGAAATATTTAAATTGTGCTGATTTTCTTCTGGAGAACTGAGCCCAGGGAATGAAACTCTCCATCAAGTCATAGCTTTGCGGGCAATAGATCAGAGGATATTGCCAGTTTTCTAATGGATTATTGTTATCGGGCAGGTTTTCTCTGAAGGTACGTATTTTCTCAATTCATTACCCTCTCCTATTTATCAGGTAATGATCTAATGAGCTGGAGATCCAAACCGGTAAAAAAGAGAAAGATGTTAAGTAGTCAGTATTGACTGAAGAATGACACTTTATTGCTGCTTGTTTATAGGTGAATAATCTGACTCCTTTAGTAAAGATTAGTAGGGTATAGTTTGAATTGCATTGTCAGCAAAAACAGGCAAAACCAAAACAAAACCGTGCTGCAGGCTGCATTATCATAAGTTCATATTAATTCTCTTGAGGATTTTTTTGTAGCTGCAGTGTATAATGAAGGGAAATACATACTTTGGGAACTCAGTTAACCTTATATATCTTAAAAAAATATTTTTACATGATCAAGATGTTTCCTCATTATATTCTCAACTTTATCTCAAATGCTGCTGTTAATTTTGGTGCCATTGATATTTACAGTACATAAATATATGAATGATAAAAGTATTCAATTTAAAGAAACTCCAGTGGGAGTCTTCATAAGAATATTATATTGATGTACTTTTCTGGCTTTGTAGGTCTTTATTTTTAAGTTTGAAAGAATCTTCCTAAAATTAATTGCTACATTTTTAGTAAAACATGCTTACCATAAAAATTTTCTTATTCAACTTTGTTCTGTTAAGTGAACAACCCCAATACATTTATGAAGTATACAAAATTGTTTAGCAAAGTAAAATGTGAAAAGCTGGCAAACTTTTGAATATTAACTGAATTAATAAAAATGGAGAAAGCCTTATCCTACCCTGAAATCTAGCTTATTATACCTATGATATATTAGAACAGGAAAAGGGGTGACTACTGTGCTTGTTTCCTAAAAGTTAAAGGTATGTGTGTAGGGGGGTATTTTGTGTCAGCAAGTGAGTAGGAGTGTAGGATAGAAAGCAAGCACATACTAATCGCAGTAAGTTTATGAAAACTGAAGAAATATTTTAAAATATGATATTAGGGCTCTTGATGTTTTTAAGTGTTTTATTACTGTGTGAATAGGCTCAGTGAACCCTACCATGGTATTGATATTCTTCCATGTTAAAAATGACTATTAGAATAGGTAGAATAGCAGGTGTGTTTGACCTGGAGCGGGTCTACCTGCTGCTGTATTTGGACTGGAACACAGAGTTTGTGGACCCATCAGTGGGTTAATCACAGGCTCGGGAGAGGAAATGGTGGCTCAGCTTCATGAAAGCACTTGTTAAATGTGTTCTCATTTCTTTTGAGCATTTGAGAGACTATTAGAAGAACGAAGGAGAGGGAGAAGGATTGAGTCACCCAAATAGTTACTTGGAGTTTATTTTCTCTTATCCCAGAGGGATTGTAAAAGGCAAAAAATGGCAAAAGATGAAGGAGAATAGGGTCCCCAAAGAGTACTTCTAAGTGCTTCTTTTTTTGATGAATCTTACAAGAATTGAGGAACAGGGGCTTAAATTAAGGTTTCCCTATGGATTCCTCCATTTGGCAAGCTTTCTCTCCTTTATGGAATGTTTTCCCTCCACTCACTTAAGGAAAAAAAAAAAAAAAAAGTGAGCTTGCTCCCAGTCTGGTTTCTTCCCCGGTAACTTGCAGCTCTAATTTAGATCTACAGAAGTATGCTCTCTGAAACTGCATATACTCCCGAGTGTCTCAGAGTTTTATAATTCACTGATATGAATTTCAAAGCTAAAGTGATTTATCATTTATTTATTCCAGCATAGGGAAGATATAAAAACAGCTTAGTAATATATCCTTTAATTTATATTTTGGATGTTAGATGAATAGAACAAATATAAAAATCAGGAGGGCAGTTTTAGTTGTCAAATTGCAATAAAAATTTTTATTGCTCTGACCTCTTATTAACCTTTTCTACCATATCATGCTAGTGTCTCTTGCCTCCCTATAGGGTTCATTCACTTACCCAGCTATCTAAATCTGCTCAGCTTCCAGGTCTAGTGCTAAAACTTGTTTTACATCATCTAATGGTGAGTTCATTGCAAAAATATTACTGTAATTTCATTTTATTAGTTGCTCTTAAATATTTAATATTTATTGAGTGCCCATGATCTGTTTGGTGTTTCAAAGCAAGATGTAGGAAGAAAGTACATAATGGTATTTTCTCTTAAATCAGCCAGTTTATTAATATTTCAGGACTTCTAATTGGTGCTCACAGAGGAAGGCATTTAAGGCTGGCTTTTTAGTGGCTGCTTATGCACATGTAAGACATGAAATACCCTGTATTCAGTCAATGATTTGCATTCAACTTTACTGTGGATCCTAGACTTATCATCCAATTGTATTCAAATACTCTCTTCACTCTACTCCATAGGTCAAAATGTCATCATAGGCAGAACATTGGATTAAGGACAAGGAAAACTAGATTTAAATGTGTTAAGCAAATTTGTGTCAGTTAATTGGTCTCCCACATACCTCTCTCCTATTAGGTGTATAATAGAGATAATGGTATCTACTTTTTGGATTTTTGTGGGTAGTAGAGATCACACACATTAACTAACAAACACATAGTGCATGCACAACATATGTTTAATAAATAGTATTATTTCTGAATGCATTGTATCATAGAGTCTCACATACAGAATGTACCAACTGAAACCACCTTGACTCATCTTTCTTCAGTGATGCATGTGTGTGTATGAATATGTGTGTATGTGTATATGTGTATTATCATAGATCCATTGTTTAAAGGTCTTAGTGATAAAAATAATCTATTGATCATGTAGTTATTGCCCAGCACTAGAGTACTCTAGAGAAGTACTCTATACATAGATAAAATTAAAAATTAAGATTAGCTTGAGAAATAGGTTGGCATATTTCCTATGGCTATCAAACAGCTAAATTTTCAACCATACCTTACCAGAGAAAGCAGATAGAACTATATCTCATATTCCCATTTTTCCCTTCTCCCAAAAGATATGGAAATAGAAGACAAGCCAATAAATCCTCTTGCTCATTTTGTTGCTCCCTTTGCCCTTCTTGTTTGCATTTTATTTTGCTAAGTGGCTTGTCTAGTGAGATGGCCTCAAATTCTAACTGCACAGAGTAGTTTAAGCATACAAACCACCCCCTCAAGGAACAAAGCAAATATATGAATACTTTTATTAAAACAAAAGACAGTTTTTGCTTTGAAAAAATGATAAACATTTTTTAATGAGAGTGAAACTGTTAAATATGAATGTTCAATCCAGCCAGATGTTGACCTTAACTGTGAGTTTGAATCTTTACAAAAATAGTATGCAAATCCAAGCTAGAAACTGCTTTCTTTAGGTCACAAGACTGCTGAAAAATTCTGAGTTTGAATTTCTCGAATACATTTCATATTGAGTTAATAAGCATATACAGAAAACCTACTTTAATATTGTGAGTTATACTGGGAAGTAAATTAATCATCATACATGTCTTTCATATATTTTATTGGAATTTGGAAACAGATGTACAAATGTCCTCTTTATAAAAGGGAACCTTACCCAGTAATTATTTTGAAAGTGTGTTATAGGAAATTATCTTGTACATTATGACTAGACCAAAATGTGGACACGAAAGCAAGTACCTGCTGAAAAGCTTTTCTTTCTTTTCTTTTCTCTTCTCTTTTCTTTGCTTTTGAGTCCATATCTGTCATCAGTGCCAATCCTGTCTTAAAATCAATGAATCGACCTATCACCAATAAAGTGAAGGTTTAAGCATCTGACTTCATTCTCTACAAGACCCTTGAATTTCTTGTTCTATTGCTATTTGATTCCAAACTTTGGATATTTTGACTCAGTACCTAAGGAGATTAGAACCTGTGTTCTAATTCCAACTCAGTTTCTAATCTATAAATGTGTGTGGGAGGGCAATAATAATATTCATATGTGTGGAATGAATGACAAAATATCATAAAATCAGCTATAGGGGCTTGTTGAGGTAAATACTAAAAAATGGTACTGAGTGTTGGTTAGCTATCACAACATCACCATCTTCAGGCCTGTCCCTGATATTGGGCTTCCTATTATTCAGTGTGATTATCTGACCCCCTTTGGGGGACCCAGATATGTGTTCACCTACATTCTTCTCTGCCTATGGCTTCCTCTTATTTTCATTAAGTCAGCCCTGCCCCTTTGACCTCACCTTTAAACAGCTTAGCTACCAATTCCTTGAGGTGTTTTTCCCTCAGCATATCTTAATGGGAAAACAGATCTCTCAGAGCTTAGTGAGTCTCCCCTTGTGTCTCCATTTGTATTGACAAACACATATTAAAAGAGACACAAAGATACTATTTCACATGTCGTGTATAACCTCCTCGGCTTCCAGAACACAGGCTAGTAAACTTTTTCTGTGAACGACCAACTAATAAAAGTTAGGGGCTGAACTGTCTCTCCATAAAATTCATATGCTAAAGTTCTAACTCCTAGTACCCACAATGTGAGTGTATTTGAAGACAGCGTTTCTTAAAGAAGTGATTAAATTAAAATGAGGTCATTAAGGTAAATCCTAACCCAGTATGACTGATGTCCCTATAAGAAGAGGAAACAGACATAGACACGTACGGACGGAAGACCATGTAAAGACACCAGGAAAAGGCAGCTATTAAGCCAAGAACTAGGCCTCAAAAGAAACCAACTCTCCTGATACTTTGATCTCAGCTTCTAGCCTCCAGAATTGTGAGGAAAAAAAAAATCTGTTGTTTATACCACCCAGTCTATGGTACTTTGTTCCAAAAGCCCTAGAAAACTAATAGAGTAAACATTTTAGATTTTGGGGCTCCATAAGCTTTCTGTCACATATTCCTCCTCATTCTTCCCTCTTTGTCCCTATTCACCCTTTTAAAAATGTGAAACAAAAACAAGAAAACAAATGCTTTTAGGGGCCATATTTGGTCATGAGCATAGTTTTCCAACCCTTATTCTAGAACAGAAAGATCTTCCAAAGTTTGGGCCAAATATAAACCCTAAACTTCCATGTTCAAGATAGTCTACTTTGCAGATAACCACTGATTTTTAGCCTAAAAATATCACTTTATCCTTTTCTTCTGCCAAAATCCTTCCAAATTCCTCAATTTGATGTGGATATCTATAGAGCATATTACTTTCACTCTTAATGGACCCTTTAAAGCCCTAAAGTTAGAATGTCATCTGATAAATATTAATAATAACATTTTGCATTTGTCGAGTACATTCTGTGTGCTAAAGACTATTCTAAACACAACATATATTTTCTCATGTTAATCCTACCAATAGCCTTGCAAGGTGGCTGCTGTTATAATCATTTCTCTGATGTGGAAATCGAGACAGAGAGCAATTGCCCGTGGTTATTTGGCATAAGTAGCTTAGTGTTTAACCAAGGTTTGGATAGAGAATCTTCGCCTCAGAGTCTTGCATTTAACCACTGTACTATAATGGCTCTCTGATCATGGCAGAGTTTTATGTTTACTGTAAGAACAGCTGTGAAAATGTTGAAAAATACATGTCAAACAGCAATTCAGGTGAAAGAGAAGGGAAATGATGCAGTGCTGATTTCAATCCCATATTTTTATGTGAATGTAGTAGGCATGATGTTTTTTTAGTTAATTATGCAATTTCTGTTTGTCTTTTCTTACGGAGTTCATGAATTATCTTTTAAAGACTTTTTTTGTCTTCAAAATATCATATGTTGAATGAGTATGGTTAAAGAGGTTAGGTTTATCAAAGGAAACCTAAAGAACAAAATGGTATAATTTTGAAGCTCACAGGAATTTCACATTTAATTTTGCATGTAAGTAAGTTAATGCTTAGTTTAATAATTCATATTATATGGGGAAACAATGAATAACCAAACTGACTACTGGGTATAAATACTGTATTATTTCTAGTTATTTTCATGGAATCAACAGGTACTCAGTTTGAATGTGGTCAAAGGACGACCTGTTCAAATGAAAATTTTGCCAGGTGGCAATTCTGCTTTAATTCTAAGAAGCGTATGTTGTGTGTTGTGTGAATTCCTGGATTGTCCTTTTTAATTTCATCAATACATCTGATATGCCTTCAATATTTCTGTAGAACTGAATCATATTTTCTAGCTATATCTGAATTTGGTAGAACATCTTTGAGAGGAAAAAATAGGCCACTACTACCATGTGGTATAAATACGTTTGACCTACTTCATAAATTACTCTTCTGTCACTTCATTCGCACACAAAAATTCTTGTGATATTGTCCGATATCCACATCTAATATAAGAAATGTAATCACCATAAAGTAGAAAGTTGTCCATCACCTGCCAAAATCTATCGAAGTAAAGTGGTTTTAATAGTTTCAGCTTTGAATTATAATGTCTAGTAATTAAAATATATGCATGTGTATATGTAGAACCTTAACAAAGCACTATTACTGCTTAGAAAATTATTGCAATGGGTCTTGTTATTTTAGGTTCTGTTAGGTCCCTGGACATTGTAGAGGAAAACCAAAGTAAACTTTCTTTGGTTATATTTATTGGGACAGTGGATAACTATGGGCATTCTGTTGTTCTGGAATTGTTTATCTTTAATATGAATTTATATTTACTCTAAATTTTTTTAAGAAGTACGTGAGTAGCCATGTGAATCTGTGTGCGAAGGCATTTGTGTGCATGTCTGTGTGTGCCCTGTCTGTTTGTGTTTTTTTCCACGAATCACCCATGGGAGATTTGAAAGGCAGATCTTTAGTTCACAGACAGGATATTGAGATTCATCTTCTGTCTTCACCAGCAATTGGACCTTGAAATATATGGGAATTAGAGCATTAAAAACCACCCTGGGTTATCTTGCAATTCTCTCTCACCTCCTCTTACTTACAAAATAACTTAAGCTTTAGAAAATGTTCTGCCAGGAATTTTGTTTTTTCTCCTTCAGATTATTCTTGTGGCGTAAAACATGGGAATATTTTAGGAAAGGGAAAATCTTTATGAGAATTGGTGGAATTTACATGAAGGGATGAAGGTCTGCATTGCCAAAGAAGAAAATTATTTTTAGGTT